CGTGAAACAATGGAAAAGCAATGGAAAACTTGCTGTTTCGATGTGTGACCACTATGGAGTAGAAGCACAGAAAAAAAAACATGGAAGAAACGAGGAAAACCGTTTATACGGTGCAACTGTAGGGATTGTGGAAGGTGCATTTGGGTAAGCGTTAGACACCCAGCTGCCCCAAAAGTACCCAGCTCTGTCGACACAACAAAATACCCAGCTTGGAGTCTTTTTGTCGACATCCCTTGGCTTTTGGGACATGGGACAGCATGGGACCACTATAAAATGGATTTTTTTTTTCCATCCTACCCTAAAATACCCAGCTGCCCCAAAAATACCCAGCTCTGTCGACAGGACATAGGACAGCATGGGACCACTATAAAATGGAAAACTATCTCCATCCCACCCAAAAAAAATACCCAGCTGCCCCAAAATACCCAGCTCCGTCGATACCAGTCTTTTTGTCGACATCCCTTGGCTTTTGGGACATGGGACAGCATGGGACCAATGGAAAACTACCAGAAAATAAGTCTTGGTCTTTGTGTCAGCATCCCTTGGCTTTGGGACGTGCCGGGCTAAAGAAAAATGTGGTGTCTTTGGGGCGATGATGGTGGGAGGATGTGGGAAGGCTGCGGCACTATAAAATGGAAACCCCCAACCCCAGGAAATCCTACCAGGAAGGGCATGTAATCTCTATAAAATCAGAGCACCCAACCCCTCAAAAAACCATTCATTTTTGGATGTTGTAAGATACAGGGGGTTGGGGGTTCCTATTCTATAGTAGAAAGTTGGCTAGTTCCTTCATTTTAAGGCTAGGCTCCAGGGTACGTTGGGGCCTCCCATTTTATAGTGATGGAGGGTTTTGCAGTAAATTTGTAGCTGTAAATATTTGCTTTTTCAAATAATTTTCTTATTTTATAGAGGTGCACCTGTTTTGTGACCTTGGGTGTTTCCATTTTATAGAGGTCCCACTCCGGGGGGGGGATGGGTGCCCCCGTTTTAGTACTATAAAATGGGGGCACCCAACCCCCCCACTTAATCTAGTAGGGGATGTGAAAAGTATATGGGTGAAAAGTATGTGCAAGAAAAGTTTCTAGGTGAAGAGTCTCTGGGTGAAAAGTATATTGGTGAAAAGTATGTGCAAGAAGAGTTTCTGGGTGAAGAGTCTCTGGGTGAAAAGTATACGGGTGAAAAGTATGTGCAAGAAGAGTCTCTGGGTGAAAAGTATATGGGTGAAAAGTATATGGGCGAAAAGTAAAAATTGAGGCTCTGATGTGGGACCATTATATGTGTCAACGAAGAGTTTCTGGTGAAGAGTCTCTATGTGAAAATATATGGGTGAAATAGATTGATCAAGAATATTTTCTTCTGGGTGAAGAGTCTCTCGGGTGAAAAGTATGTGCAAGAAGAGTTTCTGGGTGAAGAGTCTCTGGGTGAAAAGTATATGGGTGAAAAGTAGGTGCAAGAAGGGTTTCTGGGTGCAGAGTCTCTGAGTCTCTGGGTGAAAAGTATATGGGTGAAAAGTATGTGCAAGAAGGGTTTCTGGGTGCAGAGTCTCTGGGTGAAAAGTATATGGGTGAAAATTATGTGCAAGAAGAGTTTCTGGGTGAAGAGTCTCTGGGTGAAAAGTATATGGGTGAAAAGTAGGTGCAAGAAGAGTCTTTGGGTGAAAGTATATGGGTGAAAAATATGTGCAAGAGAAGTTTCTAGGTGAAGAGTCTCTGGGTGAAAAGTATATTGGTGAAAAGTATGTGCAAGAAGAGTTTCTGGGTGAAGAATCTCTGGGTGAAAAGTATATGGGTGAAACGTATGTGCAAGAAGAGTCTCTGGGTGAAAAGTATATGGGTGAAAAGTATGTGCAAGAAGAGTTTCTGGGTGAAGAGTCTCTGGGTGAAAAGTATATGGGTGACATGTATGTGCAAGAAGAGTTTCTGGGTGAAGAGTTCTGGGTAAAAAGTATATGGGCGAAAAGTATGTGCAAAAAGAGTTTCTGGGTGAAAAGTCTGTGCAAGGAGAGTTTCTGGGTGAAGAATCTCTGGGTGAAAAATGTATGGGTGAACTGATGTGCAAGAAGAGTTTCTGGGTGAAGAGTCTCTGGGTGAAAAGTATATGGGTGAAAAGCATGTGCAAGAAGGGTTTCTGGGTGCAGAGTCTCTGGGTGAAAAGTATATGGGTGAAAAGTATGTGCAAGAAGAGTTTCTAGGTGAAGAGTCTCTGGGTGAAGAATCTCTGGGTGAAAAGTATATGGGTGACATGTATGTGCACGAAGAGTTTCTGGTTGAAGAGTCTCTGGGTGAAAAGTCTGTGCAAGAAGAGTTTCTGGGTGAAGAATCTCTGGGTGAAAAGTATATGGGTGACATGTATGTGCAAGAAGAGTTTCTGGGTGAAGAGTCTCTGGGTGAAAAGTATATGGGTGAAAAGTATGTGCAAGAAAAGTTTCTGGGTGAAAGTATATGGGTGAAAAATATGTGCAAGAAAAGTTTCTAGGTGAAGAGTCTCCGGGTGAAAAGTATATTGGTGAAAAGTATGTGCAAGAAGAGTTTCTGGGTGAAGAGTCTCTGGGTGAAAAGTATATGGGTGAAAAATTAGTGCAAGAAGAGTTTCTGGGTGAAGTAGTTCTGGGTAAAAGTATATGGGTGTAAAAGTATGTGCAAGAGGCTTTCTGGTAAAAAGTATATGGGTGAAAAGTATGTGCACGAAGAGTTTCTGGTTGAAGAGTCTCTCGGTGAAAAGTCTGTGCAAGAAGAGTTTCTGGGTGAAGAATCTCTGGGTGAAAAGTATATGGGTGACATGTATGTGCAAGAAGAGTTTCTGGTGAAGAGTCTCTGGGTGAAAAGTATCTGGTTGAAAAGTATGTGCAAGAAGAGTTTCTGGGTGAAGTCTCTGGGTAAAAAGTATATATGGGTGAAAAGTATGTGCAAGAAGAGTTTCTGGGTGAAGAGTCTCTGGGTGAAAAGTCTGTGCAAGAAGAGTTTCTGGGTGAAGAATCTCTGGGTGAAAAGTATATTGGTGAAAAGTATGTGCAAGAAAAATTGGGTGAAGAGTCTCTTTGTGAAAAGTATATGGGTGAAAAGTCTGTGCAAGAAGAGTTTCTGGGTGAAAAATCTCTGGGTGAAAAGTATATGGGTGAAATGTATTGAAGAGTCGCTGGGTGAAAAGTATGGTGGAAAATAGGGGTAGATGGGATGCTGGCTTTCGTTCCCCCCTTCTCAGGTTTTCTTTTATTTACATTGTTTTTTCTAGTTGACATTTGTTTCACACAAAAACATCTACATGATTGTAGTATGTTGTAATGATGGGATGGAAAACAACCGCGATCAGGATCTCGGAACCATCTTGTTTGATCATCTTGGGTGTGGCTCCAAATTGTTCGACGCACACAAAAGTGCCAGCTTTCACAGGAAAAGGAGCTCAATCACGTTTCAACATGATGATATAGATAGCCATTTGTGGATGTTCACAAGCTGTAGTAGCCACAATGCAACCACAATCATCATTTCAGATTATTGAGTTGGCCATCAGTTTCTTGAACGCACAATTTTCTATAACTATTCTAAAACCGCAACCACAACCATCGTTATCAATACATTATTATCGTCATTCTTATTGTATTGACGTCCTTTGTAATTCTTCTGATCATTACGATTTATGAAGATCATTATGATTGTTGTATACATACATTATCATATCCTATTATATGTTGTTCCTACGTACGTGTCCTTTTCTTGCTGTTTGCATACCGGCTGCCCTTAGGGCCGGTGCGTCCAGTGTGTGTCTGCTGCTGCATTCCTAGCAGCAGAACACACTTGTGGTGGGCACATGTTTGGTTGTTGAAGCTGGCTAAATTGCCTAAACTATAGGTTATCAGCCGCATCTCAAAATCATCGATGTGAGCTGTGAGACCAGGAGCCTAAAATTTGGGGGGCTCAATGTCTGAACTTGCCAGCCTCTCACGTGCGCCTAACACAAGTGGCTCACACCCTTGGGCCGTGAGTGTAGTCGCTCCGTTTGCCTTGCGAAATGCTTCAGGTGAATCTGGGTTGCCATGGGCCGTCATGTGCCACAATCGGCCGAGTAGGTCACAGTGGATGCTGGCACTGAAGGCTGCTTCTCTGGCCGCGGCACGCATGGTCATTCAGAATTTGCTTGGGACATGGTAGCGAGGTGGATGTCAGAGCGGCCGTTGGTTGCTGTGGGCACGGGTTCTTTCCTGGGTTTCTTTCCATGCAGTGACAGCAGTTGCTCCAATGGCCAGCCCTGCAAACTGCCATCAAAGGCGGGGAGCGTTGTTGCTAGGTATGTGCCCTTTTCTTGCTGTTTGCACACCGGCTGCCCTTAGGGCCGGCGCGTCCAGTGCGTGTCTGCTGCTGCATTCCTAGCAGAAGAATTTTATTACGTATATAAAACCCTTTTATATTCCCTATATAATCCCTATTTAATCCCTGTATAACCCTTATGTAGCCCCATTCAGATTTTTATGAACCCAGCAATCCCCATTTCACGAAAGGTAGCGTCAGCTACCTGAGTTCTCCGTGCTTCAGCACAATCATAGGGGGTATTGGGGGGCCAGCCCGTGCAATTCATGGAATTCTCGCCGTTATGTATTGGATATCAATTATAAGGGGGGGGGGGCCCCCCCCCTCTAAAATGGTCATGGGTTCAATTCCCACGGGTGACGCGGTCACGGGCCCCCACATTAGAGGCACACTTTCCATGAGGGAGATGTCCCTGTAGTCCAGCATAATTGGTATGCTTCAGCCTCAATAACAGTTGCTGCAAGGGGGGGTTTTAAATAAACCCCTTTTCGTGCATCATTTCACGCTGCACAAGACACCGTATCATGCAGTCATGCTCTGGATAAAATCATCTTAGACTGCGTAAAAACGTTTTTGGTGTATCATCTTAGGGGCGCAGCATTTTGACACCACTCCTCTCCCACTACACTACCTTTCGTCCGCCTCCGCCTGCTCTCAAGTTTTTTTTCCAGCATTTTCCCATGGCCTTTCTCGGGCAGGGCCTTTTTGGTGGAGCTGCTGATGCGTCGTGCCTTGATGCTGCGACTCATGGGGAATCTGGAAGCAGCAGGTGGGGGAGCCGACGGGGAGCCCATGGCTGGCTTGGTGAACTGGTATCTGAAGTGATCCAACATACCATGATCATGTGAATATATCTAACATGGCTTGATATCCAAGATGATCCCAAATGATCGAAGGCATCTAAGATAGAACGAAGATATGTGAGATAGATTCTCCCCAAACATACCTAACATGATCTAAAATGATCTAAGATGTCTAATCTAAAATATCTACAGTATATAGATCTATTTCTTGGTGGATCTAACGTGATCGATTTCTTGGTGGATCTAGAATGTCTAAAATGTCAAAAATACCTGAGACAGTTACAGATAGAGCTTAAGATATCTGAGATGGATCTAAGATGACAAATCTGACATATTAACATCTGAGATCGATTTAAAACATCTGAGGTGAGATATCTAAGATTTATTTTGGTTGGATGTTTTTTTTGAAAGGACATGTGAATAGATTATTGAAACGGTTATGTCAGTAAAAAATCTAAACTGTCCAAAATTCTGGTGTAGTCATTGAACAGGGAATCTAAACTATCAAAAACTCTGTACTCATATCTGAAATGATCATCTCAAATCTCTACTAACATAACTATGGAAAATCACTATTTTGAATTGGAAAATCAACTATTTCTATGGCCATTTTCAATAGCAAACTGCTAAATTACCAGGGGGTAATTCTTAAGTTGGTGAAGATATCAAATGGGATCAACGCATGGATGAATCAACTTTGATTCCCACAGAATTTGTGTTGTTCAAAGCTGTAGCACCAGACGATCTAAGGGTTGCGCCATATTTGGGTTTTTTCAAAATGTTGAAGACTTGTACGCTCTCATCAACATCATTAACCAACTAAAATGTTCTTCATAGTTAAGTCCTCTTAACCATATTTCGAAGAGTTATCACCACTGATAACCACTATATAACCACTAAGTAACTGGCTGAATCACTGAATAATATTTTGACTCTGACCAGGAAGCGACTTTTTGGAAGTCCTCGAGCTGGAACCAGAGGCAGTAGCTGGTTGGACAATGTTGGACATATGGTGACTTAAGGATTTTTTACTAGTTGGTTCGTCTGGAAGATTATGTTTCTATTGTTGCACCACTGAAAAGTTTTCAGTGCAACTAGTCATATAACCATGTAGTCCTTTTGGATTTGTTGAGGCTTTAAGGTGATTTTTACGGACCATAAATATCAACCAATACGCATTGCTGACGGATATGATGTCCTTTCAAAATGCTGCGACATGGGAAAGCCCACACCTGGAGGATGGCCTAGCGCTCTTTTGGTACGGCAAGATCCTCATCGAACAGCAACGGCATCAAGAGGTGCAGATTTTGGGGGCCATGGGGGCCATGGTGCCCTCGTTGCGAACATGGCGAAAATGGATTGAAAATGGCCCATTGAGGGCGCGATTTTCCGATAGTTCTGGCAAACGTGAGTTGAACAAAAGGGGGTATCATAGGCAATTTCTCCATAGCTATGGCAGTTCTGGGGGCTGAATCAATTGAATGTTTGGATACACCCATCTGACAGGCAGTGGTATATCTGAAAGCATCCCTGGACTACCACGAGCCAACGCGAATGGCGGCTCATGCCATTCTGGGAGCCACTGGACTGCAGCGATCTGGATCGGTCCTGTCATGATGGAGCTGAGATTCCAAACAACGGAGCTGTCTGGGTAACTATCCCAATAGCCGAACTTTTCAGGTAAGTGAACATGATAGTTTACCCACGTTTACCCAGATGTGTGTGTGTGTGTGTTTTTTTTTTCAAACATGTTCCGTGGCATCTTCTGTCCATGACACCAGCCCATGTGGATTTCCGCATTCACAAGTTCCCATAACTGACTTGGGATGAGGGAACATTCACAGAACTTTCTCCATTGTTTGGATGGTAAAAGCCGGTAAAACTTGGATACTCAAAGGATTTTCCCTGAAATCCAGTGACAAGAACCCGCTACCTGAGCCGCTCAGGCATTGTTAATGACGGCTTCTGAGCCGCATTTCATGCAAGCGCAACTTCATCTGAAGGAGGCGCATTTGCGCAGCATTGGAGTTGCCGCCAGGAAAAACTGAGATTGGAGATGGGTCAATACCCATGGACCAGTGGGTAGTGAGAATCTACCAGGGTCTTGATCTACAACCAAATCAGACCACATAATTCGCTCAAGTTTCAGATTTCAAAATGACGACGACAATGATGATAATTGTATATAATTGTGACGATGGTGCTGATGTTCTGAATTTTGGCACCAATTTCTTAGTTTATATATATATATTTATAACTCCAATAACTATGGTTTATGATACTTATAACTATAGTTCATGGGGTTTAGACTTCTCCAGTCTCCAGTCATGGTGTTACCCTAAGCCTGCCCTGGAAGGCGGCGCAACTGGCACCTGCGTCTCAAGCAGTGCGAATTACACTGTCAGGGGGCCTGATGCGGCTTGACAATGATTGACATAATTATCCATAAGATCCATTAAGATATTGATATAGGAATATATAAGAATTGCCAATTATCTCATGATCCATAAGATCCATTAGATTGACATAAGTTATTACAGGATGGGAATGAGACTTGCCAACTCCATCCATGCCCCCCCTAAAAGGCGGCCCATCCCAATAATGATCAAGTTGATATGCCCGGCGAGTACAACTACTGTTGGTTGATGAGACCTTAGCAAAACAGTATCATCCAGTTATATAATAGTTATAACAGATGGTTAAATATCCATATGCACATGTAGTGACATGTATCATATGTATATATCTATGTATAATTATGTATATACATATATATATATATATCTATGTCTATATATATATAGATGCATTAATCCCTCGGAGAAAAATTGGAGGTTGATTTGCTCCGCGGCCGTGGCCTTGAGCGGCAAGAATCGCGATCGCAAGAAAGCACTGAGCGATGGCCTCAGGCGGTAGACGGGGGACTCTCATTTTGAGGACTTCAGTTGTGTGTCCCCGTTGCTACAATTAACATCAATCAACCATGGTACAGTACTTAACTATGGTACATGATGGTACATTAACATCACTTAACTGTGGTACTCTCCCTTTCAGATGATGCAAAAATCACTGGTTTTTCTGCAGCCTTTCTGAGGTTTGCTGGATCGTGCTCTTGCCGCTTTGGAGGACCGGGATTTGGTCACGGAACGAGTGGGTGGTTCATTGTTGTTTCAAACATCTGGGTGCACATCTGTGAACGACCAGGGAAGGCCCTATTTTTGACCATTTCCCAAAGGGGGATGTGCGATGACCACTTTTCCAGGGCGAGCAACGAGAACCTGAAGGCTCAAGGGGGATTGAGTGGATTTGGGAGAGGCAAAAAGTGGATCACCAAGACCTAAGACGATCTCGAATCACTTGATTTGACTGAGACCATTTTTTTTCGGTGGTTCACAACGTGAACTTGGCCTGTTCCAGTCATATTCAACTGTTCGATCTTCAGCGTGCCCGCATTTTGACGAAATGCAATGAGTGTCCACACGTTTCTTACAGAAATCATGGCGCTTACCAGACAAACATCGCAGCTCTTCCTGTAGAGTTTGGATTCGCTTCCCCAGCATGGTTGCGATCAGCCACCATTCATGTTGTTTGCGATGCGCAGGTTTTTGAGGCCAAAAAAAGCAGTTTTTGTCGGCCACATGACTCGCATCCTTTGCTCATGATAGACACAGCCAAGGTGAAGGTTCAGTTAAGTCACTCCTGTAAATCCTAAATTCATGTGGGTTGAACTCTCCCATTCTCAAATCTAAAAAATGTACAACATTTAACACATAATATATCATAATATATCATAATATATCATAATATATCATAATATATCATAATATATCATAATATCATCTAAGTCTTAATATTGGGTATATCCCATTATGTTATCCCATTTAACACGTTGTTTAATTCCCATTCTCATTTGTCAGAATCCTCCGTTTCTTGTTGCCTCCGTGTCAGCCCCTTTGCTCAGGCTCCCGTACGGCTCGCGCAAGCTTGGGCCACGTGGCGCCTCGGCCGCAGTTTGAGAGACATCTGGGGAACATGTCCAATGTATGGGATTTCATAGTGATTTAGTGGGATTTCCATGGGGATTTTCTGGTGATTTTTTGATGGAATTTAACTATCAAAAAATGGGGATATTAATGGGAAATAGCTTCAGGTAATCAGCCAACATGGCTGGAGAATTGTCCGCGGAGGTTTGTTCTCTGGGAAAAAATTCATCACGACCTCACGTCGCGACCGAGCCCTGGGAATGATGGTTGGTAGGGGTAACTATCCCCAAATGACCGCAAATTTCAGGTTTGTGAATCATTATAATTTACCCTGTATATATATATATATTTATACACACTGAAGTTGGGGTGCCTTACTTTCAGAGCAACCCAGGTGTTTTTTCCATGACAATCTTTGTCGATCAAATCTCCCATGATCTCGGCATGATAAAAACCCCTTTTGGAAAACTCCGGAACGGGCGCATGCCGAGATGATGAGACAGTTGATGATTAAATATATGTTTTCCATCGACTGAAACTATGAGATATGTATATTTTCTATTATTTTCTTGTAATACATACATACTTATATTTGCATCAAAAGCACATCCTCCAATTGATAGCAAATATTGAAATTTTCAATGATAGATTATTTTCCCTTTTTTCGCTTCCCCCGGTTCATATCAAACACCCCCCAGAAACCATGGTTGTTTGTAGGGGAGAACACATATTTCGCACCATTTATGTGGTGTTTTTAATATTAGGGTGATGGGGTTGGTAAAGTTTACCATCCCATTCCACATTGGACATCCATATTTTCTAGTCTATCCGTAAAAATCTCTATGAAATCCCCATTAAAAATGTTCATTAGATCCCATTAAATCCCATGGAAATCTCATGTTCCCGGGATTTTCCCCATGGTTTTCTCCGGATTTTCCCCACATCCCATGGCATCCCATGGAGCCTTAGTAACTTAGGCGGGCAGCGGCGGCGCCGCCGCGGCCATGCTGTTGGCACGGAGTCGGAGTGCTGAAGAGGCATCACTAAGGTGGTTACCCTCTGGTTATGTCAAAATAGCTATGGAAAATCACCATTTTTATCCATTTTCAATGGGAAAACTCACTATTTCTGTGGCCATTTTCAATAGCTATGTTAGTTTACCAGGGGGTAAAACAATGTCATAAACCACCCATGACTGGGAATGGTTAGCCAAGTTGGTGAACATAACTATAATAACAATAGTGTATGATACAATAAACTGGTTGGTTTCAAACAGGAATGGATTATTTTCCATTTCATATATGGGATGTCATCCTTCCCATTGACTTTCATATTTTTCAAGATGGTTAAAACCACCAACCAGTAAATCACCATAAATAGGTTGGATTTCAACCATTCCCAGTCATGGCTGGTTTATGACATTGTTTTAACCACATGATATCTAATATTCGTTATACATCACTCATAGCTAATATCACTCATATTCGTTGCACTAATATCACTTTTTTTGTCACTAATATTCACAGAAGATTCACTAATCAAAACATGTTTTATTTGCAGAAGCTTGCTAGCGGAAGCGCTGAAGTCTGTCTTGCTAAAGAGCAAGGTATTGGTGGGGCCTGGAATCGCCAATCGACGATCGAACGACACTTCACAGTTACATAACTAATGTTAGCTCCTCCCCCTCACCTGGCTTTTTTGGAAGCAGGTGTGCTGTGGCTCGGCTCAATCCCCGTTGCAATCAGCATCATCAGCATCATCATCATCAGCATCATCAGACTTACTCTCCACTTCGTACCTCCCAATTCCTCACACACCGCTCTTTCACCACACCTTCCTCCTCCTCCCTTTGCCTTTCCAGCTAGCTTTCGTCCCTTACTGTAGCCCTTCCCGTCAAGTGATGATGAGCATTGGAATGGGGTATATAGTGAGAAACTATCCGGGTTTTGATCCACTAGTCAGACCAAATCAGGCCAAATCATTCGCTCAAATTTCTGATGATGATGATGATGATGATGATGATAATGTCGATACATGTCAATGTTATTATTGTTTATATGTAATTGTTATTGTTATAAATCTATGAATATTCCCAAGGCCATCATGAATGGGTCAAGATCTTCCGAATGGACCAGTTTGAATCATTTCTTTTAACACAATTTTGGGCGCGGCATGAAAAAACAAGTTTGGTTCCCGGTTTCCATTTTTTCGAAGAGGCGCGGTGGCTGGCTGCTCGCACCTTGGTGAAGCGGGAGACCCCAGTCGGGTGCATGACAAAAGCATCTTGGGAGATCTGAGATGGGTGTCTCGCAAGTTGTTTTTTTTCTACCCTCTGGTTATGACTAACATAGCCATGGTATAGGTGGCACATAGAAATAGATGATTTTCCCAGCTAGAAACCTCCATTTATGGTTGGGATTTTCCATGGCTATGTTAAATAACCAGATGGTAAATATTTTTTCTGGCTGGTTTCCAAAAAAAAAGAAGGATGTTTCAACAGGATGGGTATCCCACATTCTAAACCAAAAATGTTGAAACATGTTGAAACCATCCGACCGTTTTTTTGGAAAATACATTTTTAAGAATGTGACATGCTTTGATTGCGAATGCACTGAATGCACCAAGTGGATTTCGAATTTAAGCTGTGAACGTGTAATTCAAGCTATCTGATCAAAGGACTTCTGCGATTTTGATTGCACCATTTTTGACAAGCCTGTCTTGAATCCCTCTCAGATACTTTAGAGTTCAAACATGTTTGGTGAACATGTATATATAAATACTGGTTGGTGGTTTGGAACATTTTTTATTTTTCCATATATATATATAATATATATAATATATATAATATATATAATATATAATATATATATATATATTGAGAATAATCATCCCAACTGACTAATATTTTTCAGAGGGGTTCAAACCACCAACCAGAATATGTATAATTGCCAAATTGTTCTTTGCAAAGAGGTGAAAGTCCCCCTCATAGCCTGGATGACCAAGGAGCCAACAGGCCATGGCGAAAGGTGATGATTTGGAACAAGCTCTTCAGTGTCGTTGGAATCTCAGACATAGATAGATAATCAGATAGATATCTTAAAATAGGGGATCCCCAAAACCATAGCTTTCAGTAGTATCTTAAATTTTGGATGACATTTAAGGGTACCCCCCCATTGACTTCGGACACGGCTTTATTGTGACGCCGTGGCCAGGTAGCTTCCTGCAACTGGTTGCAAGGGAGCCCCAACAACGCGCTGCCGCAGTGCGCTGTCACCATTGTCACCTCGGAGAGGAATCCATGATTGGATCATAGTAAACTAACAGTTTCTATTGAAAATTGTGATTTAGTTCGTGGATTTACCCATGAAAAATGGTGATTTTTTCCATTGTTAGGTTCAATGTATTTTCATATGTTCATAGATGTGAACATCTAGGTTCATGATTTTTGTTCACAATTCTTCACATATTTCACAATACACATTCACACATAGTTTGTTTTGATATTTTGGTGCTTCCAACATCGTTGCAGGTACCTTCCTTGCTCTTCCAACTGCGCGTGACCGCTTTGTGTGACCTTTGCCGCTGGGAAGAGGTGCGAGCGCCAGTTTGACGGCTTTCCTTCTGCCAATACTGAGATGTCAGAAGTCTTCCACTGCTTTGCTGGGCTTGGCTGCGAAAAGGAGCCGCCTCATCAGTGACCCGGCAGCAGGGCATTTGGCTCAAAACTTGGACTTTGGAAGGTCTGTAATACTTGCTGCGCAGAATCTGACCCAGCGCTGACATGTTCGCTTCATTCCTTCGATCGACAGTACTTTTGGGGCTTTGTGCCACATTCAAGGCTGATCCTACAGCCTGTGAGACTGCTTTCTTCAACTTGGTGAGTGAAGATGCCTGCGGAAATGAGAATGGGCCAGACGCATCTTCTGCATGCAGTGCAACTTGCAAGCCTTTGGCTTGTTCAGTGGTGAGCTCCTGCATCGATGGCTCCAGCATTGCCTATGCAGATGATAAAGGCCCAGCCTCAATTTCAGCTGAAGAAGTGCGGAGCATTGTCAAGGAGCTTGAGTCTGAACACACCAACTGCCCCTGCAGCCCAACCAAACGCTCGAATCTGACCAAGGCGTTTCAGACCATGAGAAAGAGCGCCAAGAAGGATCCAGTGTCTTTGAGGGGCAACGTGGCAGACAGGACCCAAGAACCAGCTGCAACCGCCTGTGAGACTGCTTTCTTCAACTTGGTGAGTGAAGATGCCTGCGGAAATGAGAATGGGCCAGACGCATCTTCTGCATGCAGTGCAACTTGCAAGCCGTTGGCTTGTTCAGTGGTGAGCTCCTGCATCGATGGCTCCAGCATTGCCTATGCAGATGATAAAGGCCCAGCCTCAATTTCAGCTGAAGAAGTGCGGAGCATTGTCAAGGAGCTTGAGTCTGAACACACCAACTGCCCCTGCAGCCCAACCAAACGCTCGAATCTGACCAAGGCGTTTCAGACCATGAGAAAGAGCGCCAAGAAGGATCCAGTGTCTTTGAGGGGCAACGTGGCAGACAGGACCCAAGAACCAGCTGCAACCGCCTGTGAGACTGCTTTCTTCAACTTGGTGAGTGAAGATGCCTGCGGAAATGAGAATGGGCCAGACGCACCTTCTGCATGCAGTGCAACTTGCAAGCCGTTGGCTTGTTCAGTGGTGAGCTCCTGCATCGATGGCTCCAGCATTGCCTATGCAGATGATAAAGGCCCAGCCTCAATTTCAGCTGAAGAAGTGCGGAGCATTGTCAAGGAGCTTGAGTCTGAACACACCAACTGCCCCTGCAGCCCAACCAAACGCTCGAATCTGACCAAGGCGTTTCAGACCATGAGAAAGAGCGCCAAGAAGGATCCAGTGTCTTTGAGGGGCAACGTGGCAGACAGGACCCAAGAACCAGCTGCAACCGCCTGTGAGACTGCTTTCTTCAACTTGGTGAGTGAAGATGCCTGCGGAAATGAGAATGGGCCAGACGCATCTTCTGCATGCAGTGCAACTTGCAAGCCTTTGGCTTGTTCAGTGGTGAGCTCCTGCATCGATGGCTCCAGCATTGCCTATGCAGATGAGAAAGGTCCAGCCTCAATTTCAGCTGAAGAAGTCAAGGAGTTGGTTGCTGAACTTCGTTCGGAGCACAAGAGCTGTGCTTGTTGATGAGTAGAGTGCCGGTCAGATAGCAGCTTTGTCTTTTGCCAGCAGCCCGTTTAGTTTTGAGAGCCAGTGAAGAGCTCCGTGGTAGCTAGGCTGTACAGTTGCAGGCCATCAGATACTGTAAAGACTTATTGTTGGCCAATTCAGGCATGTGTTCAACGTCATTCAGAACCCGGATTGTCTGGACTGAAGAGTCAAGAATTTCAAGAAAAAAAAATCAAAATCTGAAGTCGTCGACCCTGACCCGCAACTTTACCCTTAAACAAAGATTAGGATAGATTAGGTCTCATGGGCAGCGAATCTTTCAAGGATCATCAGCAGTCAGCAACATGGTTCCCTGCAAACGGCGAAGCCTCCAGGCTGTATCAGATTGCCGACACGCTCTGATTGTCGTGGGGCGGCCCACTCCGCTGCTTTTGAACATCGCGGCAGAAAGCGGTATGGTCGTCATGTAGCAATCGGTATCCAATGGGGAACGGACGGGGCAACCGAAAAAGCCTGTTGTCATGAAAACGTGGCGTGTGTTTGTTGAAAAGCGTCTGATCTGATATCGAAAAAATCACTTCGCTCTGTCCAAAAAACAAAGGGATAGCTCGAGGAAGGTAGTTTCCCTGCTGTTCAAACACGCCACTTTTCCGCCCAAAGTGTTGGACACTTGATATTGTTTCTTGACAACTATGTTGGGCTGATATCCCCATCCTGACTGATCAAGGCCTTCCACTTTACTCTCCCATTCAGAATGGGTTGAGTCCACATTTTTGCCATTTTTGATGGACTCGACTTTTTCATTTTCAGCAAAAAATCGTAAATCCATGTAAATCCACAATTTTATTGGGGTTTCCATGTAAATCCATGATTTTTATTGGGGTTGAGTCCACAGTTTCCACAGGTTTCCACAGGTTTCTTCAGTTTTTTGGAGGCTAAAAATCTCAGCGCATAGCTCGCATCGCTGAGGACCCTGGAGATGAAGGTATCCAGTTCACCATGCACGTCGCCTGGGATCCGTGGCGGAGAAAGAAGATGTGCGATAAATATGGATGATATATGATGATAAAATAGGTTTATGTGTGATATAATATATATATAATATATATATGATTTTATGGATGATCATCATGGGATAATTATCATGGGACCATGAGTTTCATATTCATGGATGATTCTTAATTATATGGATGATATATGGGTGATGGTTCATTCTGACCATTCTCGGCAGCGCTGCGGAAGAGCCTCTGGCGCTGTAACTGTACTCTGGCGCTGTAACTGCCTAGGGGAGCGTTTCATGTGGCTGACAACGAAGGTTGACACAGTTTGTGACACAGTTTTTTTTTCTGCATGGCTGACTCGTGACGTCTTTGCACACGTTTCAGTTTCCCTTCTGGAAGGTCTCAGCCGGCATTCTCAAGTTTCAGGATTTGAAGTTTGAGGCCTCCGAGACGGCATGCCCTTAGTCCTGCTCAAATGTTGCATGAAATTAGCATCAAATGATTAGCAGGGTTGTGATTCCGTTGCATACTCTCAATGACTTACGAATACATCGGCGAATACATGATGTACAAGTCATGATTGCAGCACTATTTGTTTTTTTTGGGAACCAGAGCTTGACCTATCTCTTGGTGAGGGGTGAGATCTGAGCATTCCTGGAATTCCACCAGGAAAGTATCCCCATAAGCAGTGGGAGTACAGCCAATATATACTGTAGCCATTGTCACCATCAAGGCCTTGTCTTCCAGGCGGCCAAAGTCTGGGTATACAATGGATGACGAGGAAAACCGCGGATTTCACCAACACAACTCTCTTAAGACATTATAAAACCAATGTATAACACCTGATTTTCAAGACCCCATTTCGGATGATTTATTTCGGATTTACCCTTTGGTAAACTAACATGCCTATGGAAAATCACGAAATAAATGGCCATTTTCAATAGCCAACTATTGATTTACCTATGAAAGATGGTGATTTTTCATAGTTTTTTGTATCTTTACCAGAGGGTAGTTCCAAACTGATCCTCCAAGTTGTGCCCCTTCTGGGCTGCTGAGAGGCCTCCATTGGTTGCTTCACCAAAGCCATACGCCTGCAGCCGGTGAATGTCCAGGTTGGGGCACCTGTGTACCACTGCTATTGATTGTTAGTCATTACTATGATCTATTATTGTCTAAATCATGTTATGTAATATATATATATTTACATATATATAGTTACGTATATGTATATATTTACATATATGTATATATATATATACGTAACTATATATTTTATATGTATTCACACACTCACACATGTATATATATATTCATATATATATATATATACGTAACTATATATATATATGTCTATCTATAGTGTTATACTATTACCATTAAGATGATAAACATTCGGATGATATCTAGATTAAACTATCATTATACTGTTCATTTGATATATAATCATTATACCATTATCAACATTCTATGTTATACGCTTGTAGTTATCAACATTACATCATCATTTTATACTATGGCATACGAGTGCAATGTACATATATATATACACTATTGCTGATACTGATAGTAATGTTATTCGTGATAGATATTTTTGTCATACATATCTATATTCATTATGAACATATATATATATATACATACTATATACACGTCTAATTCATTATGAACATATATATATATATATGTTATTCTTATGAACATTCAGATGTTCTCAGGCGCGACTACATCGAGCCATTGCCCTGGCATGCGCGGCATGGGCACGGAGCATGGAGGCGCACCGCTTGGAGTTCACCAATGGAAGGATTTTGATTGGGATATAGAGGGACATAACGAATGATTATCTATATATATATATACACATGTATAATGCATATATATATATATATGTATATATATATATGTATATATATATATGTATATATATATATATATCATATAAATCACACAAAATATATATGTATATGTATATATATAATATGACATATCACATACATATAATAACATGTATATATATATATATCTATACATGATATGACATATACTATATACACGGCAAAAGCTAAACGCTAACAAGTTGACGCACATAACTTGGCCTCACCTTACATCATCCCATGGCTAGGGCCAAAAACCGAAGAATAAACCCCAATGGGGGATGGTTTTTTATTGGGGTTACCTCAGTAATCACGTAATCACCACTATTATCCCATCATTGACCATTATGACACCTCATTAAAGATATGATTCTCATTGAGTTCATGGTGGTGCAAACCTCAACCGGAGCTGAACCGTTCATGGTGCACCTCTAGCCGCCCTCCCAGGGCTCCACTCAAGAGACGGCCCGTGTGGTGCAGCTCTTGACCGATTCCGTGCAAGACTTGGAAGCCGTGGAACAACAGGCAGGGGCCAAGGGGTACCAGGTTGATGCCGGTGCCATGGGCGCCTTAACGGCCCAAAAGGGGTTGGAACATGGAGAATCCTGGGGGGTGGTAGCATGATCTTAATGAAACCTTTGAGTTTTGGATAATTTTGCACAATTTCGGATGATCTTAGATTTACATTTTTGGAACGGGAGTAACACGGTTTCCAATTTTCAGATTTGACACCCGAAAGTTGGAGTAATGGGTCATAATAGGTCCAACTATCCACATTTGGGATGACTGGATGACCAGTGACTCATCGGGAACACATGACGTTTCTGAAAACAATTGGAAGGTGGGTTTCCCAGCTTGGTCAAATGGTCAAATCCCCAATTTTGGTTGCTGAAATCCCCAATGTTTTCGTTGCTCAAATCCGGCTAAGTCCTATGAAAACATTCAATTTTTTGGTTGGCAACATTTCATGTTTATGGTTTAAATATGTTTAAATCCAAGTTCAATCCTCAAAAAATCCAGTTCTCAATTCTCTAGGATTACAGTTCCCCAAGTTTTTCTGGTCAACTCCCCAATTTCAGTGACCCTTCCCCCGTCTTCGTTTAGGCCATGATCACGGGTGTCATGGCGCCGCTGGGTGCGGCGCACCTGCGGGCGGCGTGCCTCTGCAGCCTGGGACGCCTCCATGATGCCTGGGAGGCTCTCTGTGAAAGCGGCCGCCGCTGCGCCGGGCGCCGGTCGAGCTTGGAAGGCTGGGGGCCGGATGGGGGCCGGTCCCCAGTGATGGGTGGGAATCCCAGCCCCATGGTCCAATGGTACTCCCAGTAATGAAAGTCCGTTTTGATTTTTTGTCGCGTCCAGGTCTAAGTTTTGGGAAAGGCAGTGCGTGCTGCGTCCCAGTCTGCTCCTACATGCTAGATTACTGCTCAACTGCTTCAAGGCTGCTTCTGGACTAGGGTGCTGCTGCGCTAAAAATGCTGCCAGACTGCTGGACCGCTCCGATATGATTCAACCTTCAGATTCAGATTGTATTTTCCAGGCTTAGATTCCCTGGCCACGTCAGTGGGGGCAGAAGGAACTTGATGAAGTGAAAACGGAAAGATGCGCGGCAGCGCTTGGTGACTCATGATCTCAATAGGAACTAGAAGATGTTTAGGCGTAGATGGCTATAGTGACAAGGTCTAGTTCCTGACAATCGGCTAAACTTTAACCTTTGGATGACGCTACCACATGGTGATTTCACACTTTAAAATCTTTAAACGAGAAGTTGTTGCACCGACTTCTTCGACTTTCTGAATGCGCGGCGTCCCATGCGGTTTTGTCATCCCAGCCGATGCATTGATTTTCATGTTTGGGGGTCTTTTAAGTGGCGGATTTGTCATATTTCTCCACATCTTTGGGATCTTTTGGGACCATGGGATGTTCAATATTACCTGGTTATACCTGGTTGGTGGTTTGGAACCATGGAATCTTATATTTATATATATATATATTATTTTTCCATATCTTGGGAATTTCTCCCAACTGACTTTCACTCCATCATTTTTCAGAGGGGTAGGTCAACCACCAACCAGTTACGATGATTTTTCGCCTCACGTTGGAGCTATAGGACCTGACCTCTCAGCACCGCGGCAGCGTGCCCTGGAGGCGCCCGTGGCAAGCATTGTTCGGTGTTTTTTGAGGTGAAGAAATGGGGGTTGTCTGAAATTTGCTCCCCCCAAAAATGGTTGGCTTTCCATGTTTTTCATTGTTTTTCCATTAAAACAGGCCATGAAAATTGCCAAAGAACCGGCACGTACATCGATGGGATTCTGCAAGTTGAAAAGCTCCAAAGGTGGCAGCAGAGCAGCCGCGTCCAGGCGGAAGTGCTGGTGTTGCTGGAGAGGCATTCGGAGGCCATTGAGGCGTGCTCCGCAGTGTTGGCGTTGAACAGCAGGCGGCCTGGGACCCTGGGATGGCCCTGATGGGATCAGGGATGGGTTGAGAGGGTACCTGGTCTTCTGTCACTTTCCACAAAAACACCAAACAAAAAAGAGACCAAACAAGGTGAGAGAGCGAAAGTAGCAAACAGACTAATCATGATAAATCTGTACCTCTCTCATTTGGAAGATGCGACTAATTGGCACGCCGTTGCCATTGTTTACTCGATTTGAAAACATCTGGCAGTGAATTTGGTACTCATAGGCCGCCCCTGGAGCGAAAGTGACGTAGCGTTTCGCTCCTAGATTCTACAGGATATTTGCAGCCTTCTTTGTCAATCTTGAAAGAAGGGGGTAATTGCTCAATATTTTCAGCTTGGTAAATTGAAATCTGCCAGATCTTAGGACTCCCTGAGCCCCTGAGCTGCCAGGGGTCATGCCGACGCACGCGTGATGCGCGCATGGTGTTTATCCGAGATTGGGGATGTCGATGCTGCTTTTGAGGCTGGGAAATGGCAGTCATCGAGCTGAAACAGCTGAAACTGTGGTTTCTGAAGCTGTAGACGTCTCTAGAAGAAGCTTCATTTTTTGTTGGCAAAAGGAGCTCCATTTTTGCGACAAAAAAATCATGTGCGCAACATCAGGACGTGGCGGCTGCGCTCGCCTTGGCTCCAGAACGAGCTGATTTGCAGGAGGCAGGATGGAATGAGTTGACGGAGGAAACCTTGGTCGACCAAGGTGAACAGGTCAGTACACTTCGGACATAAAAACTGCAACATGCCACTGGAAAGTATTTTGAAGTGCTGCTTCCCTCACAAACTTGCATTGATATTGTGTTTCGAGGTGTATGGGTGGATGATTGATCCCAACGAGTGGATTTTAGGACAGAGAGGATAAAAGAATAGTGAATAGTGACAATGGCGAAAGGTTTGCGTTGGAAGATGGATTGGATTGGATGATGAGCACCTTGATAGGCATGCTGGCTATTGGACAGAAGATTTGGTATTGGAATAATATCCAAACACCAGAAATTCAGAATCTACCAGTTAGCACCATATTATATGCTGATTCCAAAATCACGTTCATTTTATTTCCAGCATTTCTTTGATAAATAAATACACATAAATCTTCAGCAAATTTCGCCCAAAAAACACTAGCCCCAGTCCTAAGCTGACTAGTTAACTATATACACTGTTATATAATGTTATATAATGTTATATAATGTTATATATCCCACTATATCCCCATCAAAATCTAATTACAGCCAATCAAATCCCCAACATATCCATAATATATATATATACAGTATATATATATATACAGTACATATATATATAATTATATATATATATGGTCGCACCCCCCATGATCTACCTGCAACATCCTCCAATATAATCTTATGTCTCTCTGGGATGGTCCCAATGGGAACTTCCCGTCGCCACTTCCCAGGTCGAGGGCGATCTCTGTTTGCAATACGGCCGTCTGGCGGATGCCTTCAACGCCTTTGGCAAAGCCCTGAAATTGCGGGAACCTAGGACTGCCAGGCGGGCCGACCGAGGTTTCGCCAGGTCTCATCCAAGGTTTCCGATGATTTTTGTGGTTGAATCACTAATTTTTTGGATGTTGTTGGGAACCGTTCACCCAATAAACGTATAATATCATAATAACCATCTGAGAAGAGGCTAGTGAAAAAAGGGGTCATGTTGTTGCCATATATCATGGAATGCACAGGCACTAGCCAGAAAATAAGATTCTTTGCCAGCTACTTGAGACTGGCCATGTTTGGAGGTGTCAGAGGTTTTAGGATGTCTTGGAAAAACAGTAAAAGGGTGTGACTCAGCTTGGTGGAATTTGCTTTGAACACCACATCGTAACCCCGAAAAACATCTAAACGCTATTTATATCACTATGCTAGTACGATTTGACTGTTCTTTCATCAAACTAACTGGACCATGGTTTCCATAGCAATGTGTACTGGAGGGCATACCATCATATATCCTAATTGATCCCATCAAATCCCAAAATTTTTGTTGGTTTACCCGTTGACCCCCCAATTTGATAAGACTCCCATTCCTCCAAGCCGCACAGAGTGGCACTATGCGCGCAGGTTGGCCTTCAAAAGAGCGCCTCGGCTGCGATTTTTGGCCAACTCCAGCATTGCATGACGCAGTGGAAACCAAGCAGTGGAGGTTGATCATTGGGTGTACTGTACCGATTTACCACATTTCTTGGGATAACAAAGGCGACTTGTATCCATTTTTTTGCACGCACCATGTTCCATATTATAGACATCGTAAAAAGGCCGGAAACTGGTTTGTCACTTGTGCCGTGCCAAGATTGTTGTGCTGTGGGTCTACCCGCTAAAGATGCAAATGTAAACCAGCATGCGCACCTAGATCATCAAACATCTAAACATCATTTTCGACCTCCACAAATCATCAACCATCATCTCACCAATCATCTCACCAAACATCTTCAAGACCAACAAAATTTCCCCAGAATTGATCCCTAGGACATCATTTTTGGGGGCCATCATCAAAGTCAATGGATTGGTTTAAGGGAAATTTTGCAGGAAAGCCCTTTTTTTAATGGGAAAATCGATGGTTTCCTGTAGATTTTCCCTTAAACCAATCCATCATCGCGTCGCTGCCAGGCGCTGGCCCAGCTGAAGGTCGGCCATCTCACAGGAGCGGAGCTGGAGCTCGGCAAAGCGCTGCGGGCCTGTCTGGGGGCCAAAAGGATGGCCATGGCGGGCCGTTTTTCACCGTGACGATACGTGACGAAGCAATGGAAACAGGAAAGAAAGATCACTTATTAAAAGGTACTATGTAGGTACTATGTAGGTACTATGTAGGTACTATGTAGGTACTATGTAGGTACTATGTAGGTACTATCCCTCCATTTTTTCAGGATTTTTCAGGAAATATTTCGAAAAGGAACTAGTAGTAACCATCGGACATTTAGATACATTTAGTGATTACTATGGTACTCAGATTTACCATCTGAGATTACCAACCATTTGCTAGTCGCAGAAATCATGGTAACACCCCATTTCGAATGTGATGCATCCCAAATTGCATGGTTGAGAAAGTCACTTTCCCTCTAAAAATGGCCACGGAATGACTGATATTCGGAATACATTCTCCTTTTACAGACACACCCATTATGGTAACCATAATTCTTGGTGAAGTTATATCTTATATTTATATATCCATTAAAATCCCACTATATAAATCACCATTGAATCTCTATTGAAATCCCATCAAATCCCAGAAAATCACACAAATCCCATAGAATCTCTATTGAAATCCCATGAAAATCACCATTAAATCACCATTTTTGGACGGCTTCCCACCTTGAAATCTTGGGCCATCCAGGTCCCACCGGGATGGTACCACTGGCGCGTGCCAAAGATGCCGTCGCTTGGATGTTACGGAACTGGAGGGAGCCAGGTATTTATTTGTCAAGACGTATCTATATATATATATACGTATATATATATATTGTCAATTGGCAAGCGGATTCTATTCCAACACCACTTCCACCAGAAAGCTGCGGCCTCGCAGCAATTTTCCCCAGCGCACGCCTCGTGCGAAGCAGCCGTTCCACGGCTTTGTAGAACCAGGCCGTCCACGGCCAAAACAGCCAACCGTATGGCGCCAAAGGTGTAACCCTCCCACCGCACAACCGGCTCGCCTGAGCCATACACCTTTGGAACACTCAAGTCTGGGACCTGGCAGAATTATTTTAACAGGCATTAGTGGTTTATACAGGCAAGTGAAGGACCGGTTGGATGGGAACCCTGGCATGCTTAAGGGATCAGAAGTGTACATTTCACATTCCCAAAACTTCAAAGTTTTTCAGATTCAGGACACTTCTGATCAGTCGCAGTCCGCAACCATTTGAGTCGGTTTCGGTTGGATGCTCTGTTTTTCAGGACTTCCTCGGAGTCGTGCAGGCAGTAACGTCCATTCCTTAAGGTTTCCCTGAGAAAGTTTGCTTCCATTACCTTCGTTAAGGCATCTGCAAGCTGAGCTCCTGAGTGGACCCAGTGAAGTCTTATACCTTCGGACATGATGTCTTTGATCGATCGCGCAAGGAGTTGTGTTCGGAATTCCTGGCAGTTCGGAATAGCTGTTCTGGTTGTCAGGTCATAGAGGCTTTTACAGTCAGTTATGGCAAGGTCTTGGTCGTTTACTTTATACGTAGGAAGGGAAATTGCAGGTGGAAGGTTTTTCGCTTCTTCGGGTTTTTGCCATGCAGTGTTTGGATTGAGGATCCATGCCCAGTATAAACGCATCCAAGTGAGTTGATCCAGGGTAGTTGACAAAGCTGTTGTTTCAGCCGAGAGTGTACTAGTGACGATTCTTTGAATTTTCTTTGTTCCCCATGATAGGGGGCTTATGGGACAGGATTGGTTTCGGGTGATGTCTTGGTGGGTTGAAAGAATGATCATACCGGCATGGGAATCTGGCTTACTTTTGGATGCAAAAGATGCATCAGAGAACGCAATAAAACGCAGGTCCTGTGTGTTGATGGGTTGTATTTTGATGCTGACGTCGCTGTGTTTCTTGGCATTATGAAGCACTTTATTGGCAGTTACCAGTGTTGCAATGGTTGCACTGTTGATTTGGGATTGGAGGTGGCTGAGGGCGCTGGCGATATCGGGTCGGGTATGTACGGCTGCGTACTGAAGGGATCCTACCAGGCCTCTAAGATTATGCCTTTCTTCCTCGGTTACAGGTTCATTTTCTTGGTGCTTTCTCTCGGGCTTGATGGCAATTGGAGGGATGTGATTCACATATTTTGTTTGAGAAAGTTCAATACTTTTGTCGGGATGTTGGCACATTTCAATTCCGGTGAAGGTGAACGCTTTTGACTTTTTTGATCCAAAGGGATATTTTGCTTCGAGTTTGGTAATTTGAGAGTGAAAATATGAATCACCACCATGAATTCCATCATCCACATGGATGCCAAGTGCACCTGAAAGTTCTTTTGTCTCGGGATGTCGTAGAACGTAAAGGCATGGGTCAAATGGGCTGGCTTGGAAACCAAGGGCTTTCAGCTCTTCACACAGGGTTTTGTACCAAAGGAAAGGTGCATCAATTAGTCCGTAAGCGGATTTATCTAATTTGCACACTTCATTTTCTTTGAGGCTCATGGCTTTGGACAATTCTGGTACGGGTTCAATTCCAATAATTCGATCTTGTTGAAGTTTTCCTTGTAGAAATGCTGCACGGATGTCGAAAGAACCTAATG